CAGTGACATACAGCCTCTTTCTCACTCTGGCTACAGTGTGGAGAACAAATCAGGGAGGGCAGGAATGGATATAGGTAAACCAGATGGGAGGAGGCGTTTGCGGTATTCCAGGTGAGACATGATGGTAGTTTTCACTAGAATGGAGGATCTATGAGGCTGGAGATTTTTGCTTTGCACAGCGATATATCCAAAGTGCCCCAACAGTGCCTGGCACATGATAGGTGCTCAGTTACCTTTTCCTGAGATAAAAAACCCTGGAAGAACACCAGATATGGGAATGAAGATAATTTATTTGGTTTCAGACATGCTGGGTTTGAGGTGTTTTTGCAACATCCAGTGAGGAGATGTCAAATGGCCAGTTGGATACAAAGGTCTGGAGCTCAGAGGGAAGATCTATGCTTACCATTTAAAGATGTAAGTCACACATGCAGGGCTGGCATTGATGCTGTTTGTTTAGGCGATATTTCCTGGAGAGAGTGAATGTGATAAAAGAGCTTACAGAAAGAGAAGCAATGACCAGAGAGGTAGGAGAAAGAGAAACCAAAGGAAGAAAGTGCTTGAAGAAGACGGGAGTGGCTAACTGAGAATTTGATCTCTCAAATGATACTGAGATGTCATTAAAATGATGGCTGAAAAATATCACTTGGATATAGCAACATTCAGGTCATTGGTGACAATTGCAAAAGCTCTTTTGGTACAGTGACAGAAAAGGGTGCCAAATTGTAGTGGCCACAAGAGTAAACAGTGAGTGAGGAAATTTGGACAACAAATATTAACAACTCGTAGAGCATTTTGGACGAGAAGGAAAAAGACAGACAGGACAGTGGCTGAAGTGGGATATAGACTTCAGGATGGATAAAAAAATAACCAGGAGAGACCTAAAAATGATAAAAAGCTGATGGCAGTGATATGGGAGACACGGGGGGGGGGGGGGGGGGAGATATGGATAGATTGTGGGTATATGATTAAATGGAGAATTAAGATGTAAAATCCCCGAGAAGGGAGAAGGAGATGGAGTCTGTAACAAAATAAGGAGGATTAGTCCTAAAAAGGAGGAGTCTTAAATAACTTCTCTATCGTAACAGGAGAGAAGGATGTGTAAATGGGCAGGAGTGTAGGTTTAGATTTAGGTAGGTGAGGCAATTCCCATTTGATGGCTTTTATTTTCTCTGCAAGATGAGAAGTGGAGTGGGTCCTCTTTTAATAGTGAGGGCAGAAGAGTGGGAAGAGGTAGTTAGAGGAGAATGGAGAGTAGATTGTTGGATTCATCTGGTGTTGGCTTTTACAGGGTGAGTGAGAAGAAAATCTGGAGGGATAAGAGGGTTCAGGGCGTTAGCAAGAGTATTATTTAAATAATAGTCCAAACATTCTAAATAAGACATGTAAGGAAATGATAAAAGGAGAGAGTTGATAGACTGGGAGGAGATAGAGGGATCAATGGCCAGTAGGTTCCAAAAGAGAAGGAGAATGGCTGTTGTGAAAATAGTTGAATCAGTAAGCTGGGAGGAGTTAAGAATGTAGACGAAGGATGAGAAGGCCTCCCAATGGAACCAAATTGACTCAAGAAAATATTCTAGTTAGGTAGATTGTATCCATACATATTACATAAACCAACATGACAGCTTTTAAAATAAATGTAGTTCGTAAGATACAAGAAGTGAGTTTTCACCAACAGGATTAATAAAACATAAGAATTACATATTTGAAATACGTGCAGGTCAATCAGGTGCATCCTTCCCTAGCCGCACCATGGAATGCTGTGCCTGGGCTTGGCTGACAGTTTCAAGCAATGTGGAGGGTAGATTCTGGAAGAGGGTGCCATCTGGAAAGAGGGTTGTTCAGTCCGCTGAAATGAAGCTTAGGAATTGTCCTACCAGTTTATCTCATGTGGCATTGTTCACTCAATAGCAAAGTCAGAGTTGCCTTATATTCAGAGGAACATCAAAGGGCCTCTGAATAATGCAACATTTGCAGCCACAGCCCTCTGGCCATGCAAGCAAGAGGAAAGCTCTGCACTTGAACAAAGTGCTGAAATTTCTCCTAAGTCTTTCTTAGTGCTGAATTTCTTCTAAGTATTTCTTTCTCTTCTCCCCTTGATAAAGCAAACAATTTCCTAGTCACTGGGGAAAATAACTGCACTAATCATGAATATGGTTTCTGGAGGTCAAGAACTTGTTGATATATTCTTACATGATCTATTAAAATGAACTTCCAGCACTTTCTCCACTGACTCTTCACTTACGGATACTCAATGGCATGTATTTAGCCACTCAAGCAGATAGCACTGAAGCCATTGTGAATTTGCCACCCAAGAAGATTATCCCTATAATGTTCCTGTGACCACCTTAACAAAAAATCTTTTCCATTGTTGTAGAAGCCAGACAAAGTGGCATAATTCCTTGTCTCTCTGGATGTGTTTTACCACTCTTTTTTTTAACTGTAACAGGGCTTCTCAGGGGTACTTTTCACAGAGTTATGTCTAGTTCAAGCGCTGGTTCCTTACAATGTCTTACCTGGTTCTCCAGCAAGAGATCCTATTCCCATCTTTTGCATTCCTATGGCACTTTAGCTATAAGTTTCATGGTGCTTATCGTTTGCTACCTTGAAATGTAGTTATATTATTTGTGTACATATCTCTTCCACAAGAATGTGAGCTTTTGAGGGACAGTTAGTCTGAAATCATTGTTATATCCATCACTATGCTTATCATAATTAGTAGGTGTTTACTAACTAATTGTTGAGTAAATGAAATAAAAATTTGATTGTAATGCTGTCTCCATTGGGCTGCAATCCCACACTTGCTTTTTACAGGTATACGTTATCTCCAGACCTGAAAGGGTACCATCTACCCAATGTTGGTGTTGTAATCAATGTGCTATTGCAGATCTTATATTATATTATGTCAGTGTGTGGTTTGCAAATGTGGGAATTTCCCAGGTAAAATCTGAAACTGGCCGCTGCACACGGAGGGCAAGGAGATACTGAAGAAAGAGGCGGACCATTCTAGATTGGTAGGTAGCAGGTTTAATAAACAAGGGAATTACGTATGAGGCTTGTCTTGGGTGGCTGCAAGAGGAGTAGATTTCCACACCTACCTGCCAGAATCCTAAAAGTTTACGTAGAGGCCTTAACTAGGTTCAGTTACGTGTGCTGTCCAGATGGTCTCAACAACGCATTACTCTCTCAAGGCTGCATCCTTGAAAAAGGCTCCAGCTGTGAGAACAGTGGGCCGAATATACATTCCAAGGACACGGGAGGAGGTGAGGAGTCAGGTACAGCTCGAGGGTCAACTAGCAGCCACGTCCTTTCGATGACCTCCTCCAACACAGTGCCATGTCTTCTTGCAGATCAAATTGTAAATTAACTCTGAATGATCTCACATTGGCTGGTAGATTAAACCAGTTGCAGAGGAAATGGGTCAGCAAAGACATTAACCTGGGAAATCAAGCCATTCTCAAGCTAACATATGTTCTTTCAAATGATGTCTCTCACAGAGAATTCTTAAAATTCTTAAAAGAGGGTGTCATCACATCACGGTGTATGTAGTGAACACTGCTTGCAATATGTGTTAGTGAGCAAGAATTGATTCTGATACGGGGGAATAAAGCAGAAATGGAGAATCACATATGCTTCACAATTTAGAAGAACCCATCAAAGTTGCCTTTTTATCCTTGGGAAATTATCAGGTGCTGGTTATGTACTGGAAATGATCAAGTACAGGACCTTTCTGTTAAAACAACTTTTTTTTTACGTTAAGGCTCTATCTCAAAGGTCATTCATTTTTCAAAATTAGATATTTCTTATAGGGGAAGAACCAATAAGACCCGGCCATGCATGGCGTGAGAGCAGGATGGAGAAGTGAGGAGTCTCGGGGTTATTGGAATAGTGGAGTTTCTGTCAGCACAAATACAGAAGTCAGGAAAGAAGTAGTTTGAAGGTGGGGATAGAAAAGGAGATAGTTTGGTTTTGGACGTGTTGAGAAGAGATGTTGCTAAGTACTAGGCACTGGAAATATATACTATAACTTAAAAGGAAGTTCAGGGCTCAGAGAGATTGAGCAGATAGTTGCACAGAGGTTGTAGTTAAACTCTGAAACTGTCAGAGGAGAAAGTGCAAGGAAAGTCAGAAGTCCAGAGAGAATCATGAGAAATGCCTTTGTTAATGGGATCAGAAGAGTGGCTCATAGTGAGTGACTCAGATCACTTTTAATTCTATCTCAGACTCCTACTGAAAAAGTCACTGCCTTAAGCTAGCCATTTGCAATAAATGAATTTCCAGACATCATTTCTGGAAGGAGATTGAACTAAGCAAAATTTAAAGTATTTGAAGACAAGAACTTTATCTGAGCCATCACATTGCACCTCGTCATCCTCTTGCAAATGGATGGGCTGCAGGGGCAGTGCAGACAGCAGAGGATGTCCTGAGAGATCGTCAATGTCTAACTGGCCAAGGGGACAGGCTCTTTATTGTTCAACTTGTCACTAAATACATGGTCAGTGATATTTAACTTTGATGAATTATTAATGGCTGAAAACTTATTTTATCCAGATTCATGCAGATTTGGGTTAGGACTAACGAGACAATAGTGAAGTCTGGATAATGTCTTGTCTACACCTACTCACCAATATTTTATCACAGTATTAGGCAGTCTTTGCTTATAACTCTGGACCAATGTGAGTTCTTGCCATGGTAATTCATAGTGCTTTGGAATAGCTCAAATTGGCAAATATGTTTAAAAAATCAGGATGGAATATCATTAAAAGTTTATGTACTCCTGAAAAACGTTTCAGAAATAGGTCATTTGCTCTGCCCTGAATGTGGTTTGTTCATTTATTAGCGTGATTTGGTGACTAACCTCATTTCATGCCCTAAAGTACACACAGTAAAATCTCTCAGAATGCTGCTGCTCTGAATGGACAGCTGTACTCTAAAATTTCATGCCATGTATTGAATTGCTTTGTAATATTAAAACCATATTTTATCTTCCTCTTTTACTTTAGGTCTTGAGAGCCGATGACGGTAGCATGGGTGACGGCTGCTCGCAGAAGCTGGCGACTGCTAATATTCTCCGTTTCCTGTTGCTGGTCCTGATTCCATGTATCTGTGCTCTTATTGTCCTGCTGGTGGTTCTGCTTTGCTTTGTTGGTGAGTGATGCCATTATTACAGAAAAATGAAGTCGAAATTAAAATTAGCATGATTTATAAGGGTGATTTCTACTTAGTACTTATTTATCCTAAAGTGTCAACTCATTAAGAGGGTTGTCTGTTGATTATCTTATGCAGATTTGTAGCTTCAGCCTCTGTAATCACTTGACTAGTTATTATTATTAATATTAATTAATAGATTAATTAATTCAAAGCTTTTAAGGAGTGATTACTAGGTATCAAGCACTTTGAAAGTCCCTGAGAACTTAAGGATGGTTAAATTAGTCCTGCTTTCTTAGGAACTCACAGTTGAGAGGACGAGATGATTATTGTGCAACACAGGTTGATGATGGAGGTACGTACAAGGTGCTTCGGGGGAGTCAAAGGCTTTATGGAGCATTAGCATTTTGACCTTCGGAATAGTTAGTAGAAATTCAGGTTAGAAGGCAGTTGTACATGGGTCTGGCAGAGAAAATAGAAAGTGCAAGAGTAGAACCACATGAAAGATGGAGATGGACTTAGGAAAATGGGTGAAATTTTGGCAGTTGTTTGAAATGCAGCTAGACTGAGAGATGAGGTCCAAATGACGCAGAATCTAGGATTCCTCCTAAGAGGTTTGGGCTTTAGCACCTAGGTCATTGGTTTTCAAACTCTATTCTATGGAACCAAGATTCTGAGGAGGGACTCAAGGATTGCCCAAATGTGCGCTTGGACTTTCTAATATAAAAAATAGATCCTGAGCACACACTCTAACTAAATATTACATACCGATTTTTAAGCTAGCAGAGACCAGCAACCAAGTAATCTATGCTGACAGATTAATTCACTTGTATTTGGATCTTGCTATCTTTCTTTAAGTGAACAATATCCTAAGTTTAAAAGGTGAGCTGTTGGGGGGCGGAAAACCCTCAAAATATTACCATTGGTGGTTACCTATTGCTATGAATCAGGATTTTTTGAAATTGCGCAATCAAATAAAATAGAGAAATAAATATCAAGATGATTCTGATCTAATTGCATTAGCAATGATTTTGATTTTTTTAATTTCAGCAAAACTACTTTATTTTCTCATTGATTGGTTTTTAATAAGTTATACATTTACAACAAAGTAAATTAATCTCAATAAACTACAGCTCATATCTATTTGTGATATTAGGATCTTATATGATATTTACTTGAAAATAATATTTGTCTGCTGCAAAAATGCTTGAAAACTACTGTTATGGGTGGTGGTTTACATTGGATCTTTCCAAGTAAGGAGAAATCTAGTGATATTTGCATTTGCAAAAGACAATAGACCTGGATACACTACAGAGGATTAGAGACAGAAAGAAGTGAAGGCAAGCAGACCAATTTGGGACTTTGGTTATGGTCTAAGTAAAAGATAAGGGCTTGAATTAAGGCATTTGGTGCATTAAAATCAATAGAAATCAAGCCGACTGGGTTTTGGTGTGTGAGAGAAGGAGGCGTCATTGTTGACTCCCGGATTTCTGGCTTGGGCAACCAGGTTGATTTTGGTGCCATCTATTCATGCAGGAAGTAAAGGTGGAAGAGTAGGTCGTAGGTAGATGGAGGGTGGGTTGGAGGTTTGGTTTGGACATGTTAAGTTAGATCATTGTGGGACAAGCAAATACAGTCTGATTCTCATAATACTGTGTTCAATGGCTCACATACAATGAAGAATATTCCCTTTCATTTTCAGGGTAGAATGCTAATATGATTCTAAAACACACTTCTAAGTATTTCAGTGCTTAGAGGCCTCTGAGCAGAGGGGAGGTGCTGTTAAAACAGTGCTTTAAGTGGGTTATTTTTATTTTTTTATACCTTTATTGAAATATGATTCACGAAGCATACAATTCACCCATTTGAAGTGTGCAATTCAACAATTTTTAGTATATTCACAGATAAGGGCAACCATCAACACAGTTAACTTTGGAAACTTTTCATCACCTTAAGAAGAAACTCTACTCCCTTTAGCTATCTGTCCCCTGCTATCATTCTGTCTTCCCCCTGCCCCAGCCCTAAGCAACCACCAATCTATTTTCTGTCTCTATAGATTCCCCTATTCTGGAGATTTCGTATGACCATATGTGGTTTTTGTGACTGGCGTCTTTCACTTAGCATAATATTTTCAAGGTTCATCCATGTTGTAGTATGTATCAGCACTTCATTCCTTCTTATAGCCAAATAATATTGCATTGTATGGATTTACCGTATTTCGTTTATCCATTTGTCAATGGATGGACATTTTAGTTGTTTCCATCTTTTGGCTATTGTGAATAATATTGCTCTGCACATTCACGTACAAGATTTTGTGTGGACATATGTTTTCATTTCTCTTGAGTTTATAACTAGGAGTGGAAGTGTTTTTATTGTTTATGTATGGGATCAGGAAGTGTACCGATTTGTAGCCACTTCTAAAGTGCTATTTTGGCTTATGTGTAGGTAACCTTTTAGAAAGTGAGGGTTTCCCAGACATTTTCTTCAAAACCTTTCAAAAGCATTTCATAGGTTTTGTACCAGATGGTTTGATGCAGACATATTAAGTAATATCTGCCCAAATAAACGTTTCCCATTTTATAACTGAGATGTTTGTTGTTGTAATGAGCAATAAAACCATTTTATAGCTTTGTTTAAAAAACTCATTAAATTCTGCTTTTAAAAATGTCCTGTTTGGTTTGAGTTTATAACTCCATGCTCTTTCAAAGTTTTATAGTTATTTCTGGGTCCATAAGTGTTGCTAAGGGATGCTGGAATGCCAATTGTGTTTAAATAACAGGAGCTCTGTCTTCAAAAGACAGATAGTAGTGAGAGCATTATTGATCAGGAAAAGATAATAAAAACCTTATGCTAACAAACACAGATGCGCTATGTGTCTCTCATTTTGTCTGTTTGGGTTTCTCTCATGTGTAAAGTCAAGATGGTAAAAAGATTTCTGAAGATAAGCGAGTTGGACTTTCTGAATAATTATTTCAGCAGCAGGTTACAGAAGAGAGCAGTAACAAATTATTTTTCTTCTGCTCCCGTTAACTGAAGCTAGGGGTATAAAGGTTTGGTTTAGTTTAGCTGAGTTTAGTATTTCTAAAATCAGCAGATAGTCTGAGTTGTCCTTATGGTTCCAAAATTTAGACTCTAAAATAAAGATTCAGGTTTTTGAATAAAGTTGAAAATTGAAGAGTGAGCAAGATACAATGTTATACCTAGGTTTTTATTTCTTCAATTATAATCTAATCTGAAGGTCCATGTAACATATAAGAAAGAATTTTAACTTGACACTAGGAGGTCTGGGTTTAGCGACTTAGTCCTCCATTTACTGGGTGTGTGACTTTTGGTCAAATGCTTTACCTTCTTTGTGAGATGAGGAATATAATTCTTATTCATTTCACAGAATTGTTATGGAAGTCAAATGAAATACTATTTATGAAAGTATTTTTATAAATGACAAAGTTCATTATGAAAGTAAATAATTGTTTTTTCTAATGAATATTATTAATATCAGATAAAATGTTAGTAAATAGTCTTGTTAAACTCAGAAATTGACTAAAAATTGTTTATCTCATTTTAACTCAATCCATAAGAACTAAAATCTTTGTACTATGATCCATTGTCATAGTAATCCCGTAATCCATAACCACATAACCACACAACCAAGCCATTGCCACAGTATATTTTAATTGTTGATAAAGTAGCTAGAAAGGATTAAAGTTGACTGACTGTTGTATTTGCAATATGATAGCAAGTTTCTCGTGACTTTTATGCTTCGGCCTGAGAGTTACCTTCAGAGGCTAATTCCTTTCTTATAAGAACTAAACTGGCAGCAGGTTGTACTGTCATCACATGACTAGAAGAGTCAGCTTATGCGACAGAATACTTTATCAGAGATTGAATGGATCCCTGCATGAAATTATGTATAAATATGTAAATAATATATAAACATATATATGCAACATTTATCATGAAATTATTTTGATATGTGGAGAAACATGTAACAGAAATAGAATTGTAGATATAATTTGATACTGTTCATTTCTTTAACAAGCATTTATTGAGTGCCTGTTATGTGCAAAGCAGTGTACTACAGCCATTGGGCACAGCCTTGAATAAAATCTACCCTCGTGGACTCCACAGTTCAGTGAAGGAGAGAGGCATCAAAAATAATCACACAATTAATTAATTATGGCAGAGGTAACTCCTATGTCGGAAGAGACGGTTGCTATGAGAGCTTATGACAGGGGACCAAACCTGGTCTGAGCTGAGGTAGGCTTCCCTGATGGAGTGGCACTTGAAACATGAGCTCCACAGTGAGGATGTCGGAGTAATTGAGGTGACATTGGTTTATAATTTATAATTTATATGTAAGTTATATATACTTTATAGTCATATAGTTTTGATTTTAGGTGTGCGTCATTATGTTTTGACTTCTGGGTAGACTACATCATGTTCACCACCAAAAATCTAGTTGCCATCCGTCACCGTACAAATGTACGCCTTTACCCCTTTCACCCTCCCCACACCCCCTTCCCCTCTGGTAGCTACCAATTTATTCTCTGTGTCTATGTGTTTGTTTGTTGTTGTTGTTTTATCTTCCATATATGAGTGAAATCATATGGTATTTGGCTTTTTCCATCTGACTCATTTCATTTAGCATAATACTCTCAGGGTCTATCCATGTTGTCACAAATGGCAAAATTTCCTCTTTTTTATGGCTGAGTAGTATTCTACTGTGGTTGAGGTTTTTAAAAGATGCCACTGGCAGTTGTGTGGAGAGAGGGTTGAAGTGGGTAGAATATGTAGCAGAGAGAAAAAATGGGAGGTTATTGCAAGAGTCCTACAAATGTGCTGCTTTGGGGCATGGTCTGCACTGATTTTTGCAAACTATCGTTCATCTCAATTTAATTTTACCAATGTTATGGTCCAAAAAAATCTCATTAGAATACTTCTTACTTGTTCCTTCCCAGGCTTTTGAAAACTGGGTTTCACAGGCTCTTGTACTCATCCAC